TCCAAACTTCAAGAGCGGGCTCCCTTCTTGTAGTCCTTTAGATTCAAATTGCAAATTGAGTTCAAATTGAATTCAAATTGAGTTGGAAAAAGAGGCTTTCAAAGTATTGCAAGAATTGAGCCTCTTCTAGAGGTGCTTCGGAAGCCTCCTTCTCCAAGCTGTGCATGATATGGAAAAGGAGACTTCCAAAGCATTGCAAGAATTGAGCTCTTTTGGAGAATGGTACAAGGTAGCTTCAGTAAGAAGGCCACTCCCCTTTGTAGCAACCTCTCAAATACTGGAATACTGCTAGCATGTTCCGCCAGTCCTTCTTTTCGTTTGACTAGCAAACCAAAATCCTGCAACCATTTCTTCAAATGTTTTTGTCTCCAGGCCTTTAATAATCTTAGTTGTTTTTTTTTGCACTTTTTCCAAAGTCACAATATCTTTTATGTAATGTGGTGACCAAAACTAAATGCAGTATTCTAGGTGTGGCTTTAGTAAGGCATTATAAAGTCATATTAATACTTCATATGATTTTGATTCTATGCCTTTGTTTAAACAATCAAAGATTGTATTAGCTTTTTTGACTGCTGCTGCATATTGCTGGCTCATAACTAAAGATCCTCCACTAGGACTCCAAGGTCCCTCTGACAGTTACTGTTTTTGAGCCAGATTTCACCTAATCCAGTGATGGCTAACCTTTTTGTGGTCCTGTGCCAAAAGCGGCCACACCCATAATTCAATGCATGCACGAAACCCCCATGTGCACCCTGCCCCTGCACATGTGCACGCAATGCCCCCCGCGCTCCCTTTTCCCCCCATGCATGTGCACCGTGTGCCCCCAGCGTGCCCTATTTTTGGCCTACTAGACCTCCCTGCAACCTCCTGGGTCTAAAAATGGGTCGCAGAGGGCACCACACACCCCATGCTCCCCCCTCCCCCTGTGCATGCACGGCAGAGACCCAAAAATCATCTGGCTGGCAGGAGGTGCATGCACATGCTCAGTGGAGCTGAGCGGGATGATAATTCATGTGCCTGCAGAGAGGGCTCTGCATAGGTTCTCCATCACGGATCTAATCCATCTGTTAGTGTTGCTGATTATCCCACATTTTTCTAGTTTACCAAGAAGTAGGTTATGGTTAATTTATTTGCATGCCTTGCTAAAACCTTAGTATACTATGTACATAGCATTTCAGTGGTCTATTAATTTAGTCACTTTGTCAAAGAATGAAATAAGATTGGTTTGATATGATCTTTTTAAATAAATTTGTGCTAGCTTCTAGTTAAAACTTTATTTTTAGATGTTCACAGTTCTGTTTTTTGATTATCTTTTCCAGTATCTTCTCAGGTATTGATGTCAGGCTGATTAGTCTGTAGTTTCCTAGGTCTTTTCCTTTTTGAAGATGGGAACCATATCAGCTTTTTTCCAATCTTTGGGTAGTTCCCCAGTGCTCCAAGATTTTTTAAAGATGTGATACAAGGTTCTGAGACAGTGACGTGCGGTGAGTTTTATGGCTTGTGAGGCAGCAATTTTCCTTAGACTTATGGACTTCAACTCCCAGAATTCTACAGCCAGGCATGCCTTGCTCAGTTCCGATTTAAAGCGACAGCATTTGTTTTTCTCCTTTGCTAAATAAGTTTCCTTCTTTCTTTTTCTTTTTCTTCTGATCTTTTTTCCTCTATTTCTTTTTACTACTTTAATTGTTTTGTCTTAAACTAAAACATTTTTTATTCTAATAAACTTCTCCTTCTACTTGTTACAAAATTATATTAAAGATACTTAAGGAAAAAGTATTAAAAATAGTTGAATCTACCACTTGGAAGCCTAAGTCTGAAGGTTTTTTTTTGTTGAAACAATATATTCTTTGTTCATTCCTATTTGATACATTGACTTTGCAACAGAAGGGTTTGGGACTTGTTTTTTAAAACCTGATAAAGACTGAAGGTCACAATCAGTGTACTGCTGGTGCTTGTGGAAAATATTTTGGCAAGAGTAGGAAAAGGAAAGAAAAAGATAAGAACCCTTCTGCTTTGAAAACCATAAAAGAACTTGTGCTTAAGATTTAAAATAAAAATAGAGATATTCTTCAAAAAATTTTGACAGGCTAGAGTGGCAGTAATTATCAAATTCCTCCTTTTCTTTTTCTTTATATTTTTTTTACTCTGAAAAATGGATCAATACTCAGATGAAAAAAAATATGATAATCCAAAATATTTTGACTGGACTTCAAAACATCTCAGAAGGTCTTGAGAAATTTGATAAGAAAATGGACAGACTGTGGGATATCACAGAAAAAGATGATGGGGTTGGAGCCCCAGAAATTAAAGAAGCGAATGAAAATACAGAAAACAAAGATAAGACATTAGATGAACATTAACAGAGTAAATGTGAGTGAAGGTGGAAAGAAGGGAAGCTGGAAAAGTGACTTTGATAATTTGGTGCTACATTCCAAACTCCAAGATGCAGGAGAAAAAGAAAGAGCGAAAAAGATGGAGTTAACAAGACAAATCTATCCAGAAATAAGCTTGACAACCGAAGTCAAGCCTACAATAATAACAATTCAAGGGCAATGAAACTACATGAGAGATCTTTTAAGCTACAAAGTGCAGAGAGAAGCCTTAAACCCTGGAAAGGTCCTGAAAAGAGAATTGACACAATAGCTGGCAAGAGAGAAAAGACCATTTTGCTACTAGAAAGACACTGATTAATAATGCTAGTTGATGAAAAAAAGCTAGCTAATTATTGATGATTAATAAGTAGAGATCTTAGTACTTTGTAGACTGTTCTAGATTATCATTGAATGTTTATTCGTTAACATATAATTTACTATGATACCAATAGTGAAATGATAACCTTAATTACGATAAATAACCGGGCCATAAATTGTAATTTGGGATCTGGCGATAAAAGGTACAAATCTTACAAATTTTTGTTTAGATCTTGTTATGAAGATATAAATAATTTGAGTCAGAAGAGAGGAGATGTGATATAAATAAGGAAATGCTAATGTATACTTTTGGTGATTATTAAGTAGAAATCTCTTAGATTGTTTTAGATTTTTAATGTTTATTTTGTTAACACGTAATTAACCAATTTGGGACTGAGGAAAAAGACCTATAAATAGTATTAATAAATCTTTGATTAAGGATGATTATAAAGGTATAATCTTGTGTGGGCCTGTGGAGAGGAGAGGTGAGATAAACAGTAAATAATCTTTGGTCAACTACAATAACAACAAAGAAATGTTAATGGATACTATTTAATGATATATACAGGTGTGTTATTGGGGGGGGGGAATGCTTAGATATCTTACTTAATTGAATTTGTTTCAGAATATGTCATAAAGGTGTAATGTTATTGGAGGTTTATTGAAATTGCAAATGAATGCCAGTGGTGGTTGTGTCTTTAAATACAAATGATTCTAGATAAAACATGTTTAAATAATTGTAATTAAATGAGAATTGTGGTACAGGAATAGTAAAATACATACATTTTCTTTTTTGATTTAAAATATACAACTCAATTTGAATGAAGTATATGTAAGGATTGTGGAAGAAATGCACAGAATGTATTTATAACCAATCGATACGGTTTCTACAAGATGTAACGAAGGATGATTCTTTTTTTGTGTGTTTTTGTTTAATTAAAACAATAATTTTTTTTTAAAAAATAACATCTAGGAGGGATTACATTGTAATGTGAAAATGGAAATATGCACATATATGCCATCTGTCTTTCTATCTGCCTGCCTGCCTGCCTGCCTGCCTGCCTGCCTCCCTCCCTCCTACCTACCTACCTACCTACCTACCTTTAGGATTAGGAGAGGACTAGGTAGGGAAAGTCTGCTGTGAATGAAGTCTCCAGGGATAATATTGGATCTAATTTTCAGAGACTGAAGGTGTTACCATTGTTCCAGAGCAGAAGAAATTAGGACTAGGCTTTGGGATACTGTAATCTTAAAGTAGAATTCAGAGTGCTTTCAGTGGAAGAATAGGAATTCATATCCATAAAAATAGTGAGGAATTTCAACATTATCTTGACTGTTTATAATAATACATAGTAGATAAATAGTAATATATCAATTAAATGATATTATAAAGCAGTATCTAAGTTTGTATAAATTAATATTATTATATATTAATATATAAATTGATTTCTTTCCATGCTTTTTCTTATTTGTTAACTATGTCTAGTTATAAAGTTGCTTAATACAGCATTATTGGCCTTCTGTGCCAATATTGCTCTTTTGACTAGCAAAGGCTTTTATTTTCTTCCCTGAAAACTTGCTTTCCTTTTCCTTTTCAAGCATATCTAACTAAATCCTTAGCTAGAAAAAATGTTACCGTATAATTCCAAAATCCTAATGAACAGTTACACTTTGACTGATTTTGTGGTTTTCCTGTCTTAGCTATTCTATCATGTCCTCCATTATGTTTTGAAGAACGTCAATGCAAGAAGAAATATTGTTTAACATAAAGTGATATGTGATTCCTTTGTATTTAGTAAATGTTAAGATTTTTCCTCTGAATTATAAATGTAGCCATCTGATAGAGTATAGTTTTGAAGGAACCTTGATAATTTCTGCTGTTTTCTAAAGGTGTTAAGGGACTTTTGTCAGCTCTGAATCAAAAGGCTGACATGCATCTGAATTGCAGTTCCACCCTCTGATGTATAATCAGTAGCATTCTACTCTCCTCTACACATGATGCATACTGATTAATATCATGTTAATAGGAATCTTGCTAGCTTAAAGTTCTTATCTCTATAGAGAGTACTCTTCTTTATTTTTGATTGATACTAATTTCATTTTTGTTAGGTTATTTGGCATTGGACTAGATATCATATTCTTCCAACCCATTTCACCAGTTGGATACCATAGATATTTCATGGGTTGGAACCAGATGGTTGCACAAAATCTGCATGATTTAGATTTAAAATAATATCATCAGGTTATTATTAGTTTAATATATTTTATAATAATAGCACTCTAATAGATACTTCCTTTATCTTTTTCCAGCTAATAGCCTAATAACAATTGGATTAGCAGGTAAGAAGCTTGGTATTTTCTTTCTGTATTCTTTTTCATTGTTTCTCTTTAAAAAAGGCAGCCCTTATATGATTGATTTCTGATAACCTTTGTTCAAAGTATATATCTTACACACAACTAGAATGAAATATAGAAAACGTGATGCTTCTGTGAGCTAAATTTCAATATTTACAAGGACTGCCTCATATATAACTATTTAGAGAATGCAAGACTCTGAGAAAAATCAACACAATTTTACAAGTTGGAGTCACCGTTTTATTTTTCTTTGAATATTTAGCTTAAGAAATTGGTATTGTATTTCTATAAGGAAAACATATTCAGCAGCAATATTTTAAATGAATAGTGGTCCATTTTCTTCAAGCAGATCTTATATTTCCTTGAATGAGGTGTAAATAAATAAATAAAAGTCTGAAGTAACAGAAATAGTAGTGTCGAAGATCTATCTCAAACTGGCCAAGAAGATGCTTTTGTTATAGACACAAAGCGAGTATGCCATGGTTGGAAATCCAGACTGGCTGCCAATACCCAGATTGCTATCATATGATTGCAGGGACAGTAGAATGATTGCAAGTGTGAGGACTGGTTGTAAGTCACTTTTCTATGTTGTCGTACATTGAACAGTTGTTAAATAAATGATAAATAAGCAAGGATTACCTGTGAAAGTTTTAGAGCTTCACAATATCCAGCTAATGTCATGTCTAAGATATGAGATATTTAATAGTTAAATAGTCTATTTTAATTGCAACACTTTCTCTTTATGTACATTTTTAAAAATCTTCATGGTTTTCCAAAGTGGGCCATAGTCTTGTTTTTTGGCTGACTTTTCTGTTTCATAGGTGCACAACAGCAGATCATCTGCAATGAATCCTTCATGCTACAGAACTTGCCAGTGTGTGGAAAATCCTTTGAAGAGATGATGCACAAAGTGGATTCTACAAAATGGTGCAATCTGACAGAATTTATACTGTAAGCTTCTGACTAAATTTACATAGTAAGCTTTATAATTTGATATGGGAAAATTACTTGTTATTAAAAATGATTATTATACAACATTAATTGCACAAAGCATAAACTATTAGAATATGTGGAATTTCTGAATGCAGTAGCAATAGAAATAGCTCTTAGACTTATATAAGTGCAGATTTCAGAGTCAGCATATTTCCACCAACAATCTGGGCCCTCATTTTACTGACCTCGGAAGGATGGAAGACTGAGTCAACCTTGAGATGGTCAGGATCAATGTCAAACTCCAGGCTATGGGCAGAGTTAGCTTGCAATACTGCATTCTAACTACTGTACTACCACTGTCCTGTCTACCGTATGTCTGCTCAGAGATAAGCCTCTTTGATTATAGCTGTAGGAATTATTGTAGGAACTATAGCACTAGCCCTGGTGCTAGTGCTATTTGGCTATTCCCCTTTTTCTGATTTACAAACCTACAGCAAACCATCTCCATTATGTATAACCTTCCTAGATTATATTTTGGGTTTTGGTTAAATTTAACAAGAAATGGTATCTGCTAATACTTTAAGGAACAACAGCAAATACCAGAATTTTCAGAATAAAGAATAGCCTGAATAAATAGTTGGAAACTGGCATACCATTGAATGTGGATCTGATTTACCAAAGTTTGTCTTGACTTCAGCTACAATCAGAGGAAGTTATCTATGAGTAGACATGTGGTAGATCAGAGTTCCCCAATCTTTCTGGCTTTGCAGACTGACAGATGGGGGGAGAACATGGTGTCTTACAGTTACATATAAGCTAAAACATAGAAAGTTAAGAACAAACATTAAAACCAAATACACATGTGGAGGGTGGAGGCGGAGGGTGGGGCAGGTGGAATTTGTTATTACTGAATCAACCACCTCCATTGCGCTGTTCCCCCACTGGGGCCCCAAGCCGACTGGCAAAACCATGTCTTATATTAGCAACAGTCCTATCTGATCCTGTGAGCCTAATTCAGGAATAAGGTCTCAATACCAGAGATTTATGAAGCAAGGCTCCTGAAAGACACTCCGATACTGTGATGCTGCAGTACTGCCGGCTACTTCTGCTGACTGCTGGCTTCCAGCAGTTTGTCAGTTCAGGTCTTAAGGTTGTCTCAGCCTACCATCTTTCCAAGATTGGTAAAATAAGGACCCAGATTGTTGGGAGCATTATGCTGACACTATAAGAGAGGGGTATAAAGCACAATGAAGTAGTATACAAGTCTAAGTGCTATTGCTATTGCTACTCCCACCCTACCTCCCCTGCCTTGAGGTCCTGCCTGGTGCCAAACCTGAAACCCAGCTGGACATATCTTTCAGAGGAGACCCCCTCCCTTTCAGGGTCAACCAGGTCTAAGTAATGCATGGCAGGTCAGCTTGCTTCTTTTGAACAAGAGAAGCTTTATTATTGATTGACCTGACATTCAACAGCAGCAGTTGGACCCCAGGGCCGCTGAGTGTATGCTGTCCAGGGACTGGGGATGTGCTCAGAGAGGTGGAACACGTGACTGATTTTAAGCATCCGGGGCATCTTCCCCTGTAACAGCCTTTCCTCTGGCTCCCGTAGCATCCCCTGCCTGTGATATCTGATCCTGTCCTATATCCCCCAAGATAAACAGCTTCTTCCTAACCCACTTCCTTAAAGAGCCAAGGGCTCTGCTATCCCCTCCCAGTATTCACATTCACACTCTCAAACATCCCGGGGGGGTGTCAATGGCGGGGGCATGGCACTATAGCAAAAACTCTTAGCCCCAAGGACTCCCACCTCTCCCACCCCTCACAGCAAATATACTGTCCTCTCTCCCAACTGGTTCCTCTCATGAGAGGACTACTCATCCAAAACCAACTTCACCCAGCTCTCAAGGTGAGAGTATGCAAATACTACTCAAACACAAACTAACTCAAGTATCACCACAATCAGGCCAGTGCCCCTTTCCCAGCAGAGAGTATTAAAAACTGAGAATTGGAGAGGACAGTCACTATTAGAAAGATAGCATAAGATGGCATGAGAACTGAAGCCAGGCTTTTGGCTCTGGGAGATTGCCAAGTAGTAGATCAAGGGTTCATCACCTTTGCCAGTCCGAACGTCAACATCTCCATCTAGCTCCATAGGGATTTGCAGACATTTTGAGGGGATGCTGATGCAATTAGGGCGCCATGATATAAACAAACATTCAAATGTAAATCAAAGAGGACAGAGAGTAAACTTTTATACTTGGGAGTTTCTAATTGTGGCAGCAGTTTGTGGGGCTGCAAATTAGCAGAAATGGATTAAACGTAGAGATGCATCAGTAGTGAACAATGCTTGTTGAGTTCATATTTCTTAAGGGCACTGAAAGGAAAACATCGCCAGAGTTAACTGAGTTTGAACTGCTACATTCAATTTTTAAAATGATAGTATCCTCTTGGGAAAAGCAATCCAGAAGTGGGGTAGATTTCTCTAAGCATAATACCTGTATAGAAAAATTTGAGAAGGGTCTCAAAAAAAGCTTCATTTTAAGAAGCTTGCTAAGGACTTGTAGACTGCTTAAAGGTCAGCAAAATTTTCCAGCAATCCTTTCTGACTGGCAGTCATTAATTGTATGAATATATGCATGGAAATAAAGTGTAGGATTTAGAAATAAAAAGCTAAAACATACATGTCACTGTCATCTAAATCATTGTGTTTATGAAAATATGAATGACTGAAATAAATAGTAATAATTAACAAAGTAATTTAAAAAATTGGGTCAATTGTTGTTTTAAATCACATACTATTGGTATAGAAGAAAAGAGGTTGATCATTTGGTGATTCTAAAATGAATTAAAATCCAAATTGATCTGCTTGGTAAAAGGTTTCTTTAGCTTAAGTCTGCTGTGTTCATGTGACCAAAGTATATACATAAAATGTAGTTATTGTATGAGACAGTTAGTGAATTACCTCCTTATTAATTATCAAGAAATCACTATGTTTGGATCTTGAAAACAAATACACATGGAAGAAAAAGAAGTAAAAATCAGAAGCAGAAAAAATGACTTTTGTATCAAAAGGTATTACTCCTAAGCATAATAAATTGAGCTCTGGTTAGCAATAGTTGATTCTAATTATTATGCAAATTTAATTGTGTCCTCTTATCCTATGTTTCTTTTAAAACTATGTCATTCCACTGCAAATAAGATTATATTCACTTCTTGAGTGATGGCTTCAGAAACTATTTTTAGGTTGAATCAATTATAACGAAACAATTTGAATGTGCCGAATATTAGTTTTAAACCTTGTTAGCACCTGTTTTTCCTCTTCTACTTCATATACAAAAGCTATGAAATACTATTTAGCTCATGCAAACTGTTAGCTACTTATCTTTTCTATTCTGCCTCTTGTGGCATAGATAGCATAGATAGGAAGATACATTATAAGTAATTTATTATTTATAATTGTATTTGATTGAAATATATAATTTTTTTCAAACTAGTCTGCAGAAAATTGTTAGAATTTATATAATGATGTAGTTTTATTTTGAAGAAAGTGTTTTCTTTAGAGTACTGTATTTTTGAAGTATATGACGCACCAGTGTATAAGACGCACCAAGGTTTTGAAGAGGCAAATTAAAAAAAAAGTTTTTGCACTCTGCAACCTCCCAAAAATGGCCCGTTTTTCACGAAAATGGGCCCATTTCCCCCCCAAAAAGGCATGAATAGCTTTTAGGGGGCTTGCAGGATGCTCCTGGGAGGAGGGGTGGCCCCTCCAAAAACAAGCAAAAAATTGCATTTTTTTGGTGAAAATAGGCCCATTTTTCGTAAAAAAAAAAAGAGGCATGGATAGCCTTTAGGAAGCTTATTGAGTGCTCCTGGGGGTTTGGGGGGGGAAATTGAGCAAAAAATGGTGTGTTTTTGCTAATTTCTCCCTTCCTCTGTCCCCAGGAGTTCTCTGAAAGCTCTGCACGGTCATTTTGGTGAAGGGGGCAGGGTTTTGGGAGGCAAAAAATGCTGTATTCAGTGTATAAGACACACCCAGATTTTCAGCCTCTTTTTTGAGGGAAAAAGGTGCATCTTATACTATGAAAAATATGGTAACCAGCACAACAGCTTGCCTTCAGAACTTGTGGTGCTTCGTCACTGGAGGTTTTTAAGAGAAGACTGAACAGTTACTTTTTTGAAATGGTATAGGGCCCTGATGGTGAATCTATGGCACACATGCTACAGGTGACATGCAGAGTCCTCTCTGCAGGCATGTGAGCTGTTGCTCCAGCTCAACTCTACCATGCATGCACACGTGCGCATGTCCCACCAGCCAGCTGATTTTCAGGTCTCTGCCGCGCAAGTGGGGAAGGTGGGGCGTATGTAGGAGACATGAGTTCAGGCATGGAGGGTGAGGGGAGCATGGGTGTCCAGAGCAGCCCTCCCTTGGCCTGTTATTGGTCCCAGGAGACTGCAGGGAGGCCTGATAGGCCCAAAATGGGGCATGGGAGGGTCGTGCACACATGTGCAGGGCGGGGGGGGCACATGCACGCTTTCTGCATGCGATGACAAAACAGTTAGCCCTCATTGATATGGGTGTCCTGCTTGAGCAGGGGGTTGGACTAAAAGACCTTGAGGGTCCCTTCAAGCCCTGTTGTGATTGAAAACTCGAATTTTATAATTTTACCTGATAAGTCATAGTATTTTTATTTAGCCACAGATATCACTTGTTTCAGCTGAATTTAGTGTACTGTTTTCAACAAAACTAGAGGCCACAGCTAGATAATTACTTAAACTATTGTCCAATTGCTGCCCCTATTTTGCCACATAAACAAAGTCTTCCTTTTATCCTTAGAATCATTTGTTTGTATCCCATTTTTATTATTTTTAAAAAATAACTCGAGACAGCAAACAAATCCAACACACCTGCTTCCTATTTTGTCCATAAGAGAGTTGGACTGGAAGCGACTGGCCTTGGACTGGTCACCAAGTTGGCTTTCATGGCTAAGGCAGAACTAGAACTCACAATCTCCAACTTTT